TTTTGACGCGGACCCACGATGGGCATGATGTAGTCGGGTGTCAGTGGAATTGCCAGTGCCCCTTATTGTCTTAGTTGTTATATCTTGTAATCGAAGCTGTCGTCGCACAATGTAGTTTCGTTTTCTCGCACTCAATATCAATGTCCCCATGTCCATCCCCTGTAGTTGTCTTTAGCTCTGCATTCCCCACCGGTTGTCATACAGATACGACAGAACACTCCCCACTCTAGGTGGTGCTATAATGTGTGTAACGCTCCCTTCTATTTTATATTGTCTGACCTGAGAGAAGGTAATGTTCATTAATTATTGAAAGATGTGGGCTTCAAATGAAAAGCCAGAAGGCACGCCAAACTTACAATACAACTTAGATTGACTTCAATAGCGGTGGGATTTATGGCTTTTCAACCTCTATTTCAACAAACGCCAATTCGCCCTGCTTAGTTTTATTTACATGAAGGATTTGAGATCTGAATATCAGTAAATCATCGAAGGACATGAACTCGGCTTGTAAGCGATGTAAAGGAGCCAGATGTGGGAACGATATCCACTCTCAAACCCTCGTCTCTCTTCGCAAAAATAACAAAGAAGGCTGTGTGCATCCTGATGAGCAATCAAAAGATCCTTCCTTAACTTTAGTGAAGAGATTTTCCATCCAATGTTTAGAACATTTATCCAGCGACTTCAAAAAGTCCCCAAAGGCCAGACTGCAAACCAACCCCCTCACTGTGTGGGGTGTTCGCATTGATCCCCGCTAATTTGCTCATTACTCAAGGGTATGGAGTTTATATTTGTTTATTGGGTTGCATCACGAAAAGTGCTTTGACGCATAACCATATTTTTGGCCCTCTGAATACTTCCGAGGCAATTTTGATTGAAGGAACGAAAAGTGGGCGAGAAGGTATTATGAACAGGGGTGGGGATTGGAAAGGCATAAAATAATAGCTAATAGTACAATCAGGACGAGTTACAACTTTGGAGTAATCTGACTAGGTGAAGAGGCGATACCGAAACGCCTGTTAATTAACCGGTGAGAAACATAGCGCTTTGGGCAACTGCAAGGAAAGACCGAGGGAAATATTGACGTAGAGAGAAGGCAAACGTCACGAACGTCTCAGTACGATGCGGGGAATGGGGTCGGCGGATGTGGGAGGAAAGAACACCGGCCATCTTCACCAGCACGCGGTTACGCCAAATTTATCCTGGGTCCGCCGGCCGAAAAGTGCGCCAGCATGCAAACAACCCTGTTCATGCCAAGGGATGCCACCCACAGAAACCGGCAATTAGAAGACACCCAAATTAACCCACCTCGGAAATAGCCTCAGGGTCAGGCCGATATCAAACTTCTTCAATTTCCATGAAGGACATATTATTCATGCCCCCCCAAAACAACCAAACTGCGCACTTCAATTTTATATTTTACATATCGTTCTTATTTAAAACTTTTGCGGTAACTTTGCATTGAAATTCAGGTGTTTTAACTCAAAACAAACCCTCCATTCGCGTTCTATTGGCTAAACAAACACCCTAAACGAATGAAGTCCAAGTGCAGGCGAAAAGGAATGAGATTGTTTTAGGTTTTTTCCTGGGTTTAAAGGAGACTGACAGTGTCCAGAGGGCACTATAATAATCCTATTCTATTCTAACAAATAAAGGCGCTCATTGATGCGATAGATTACAGAGACAAAGGGCTTCTGAAAGTTGTGCAAGGATGATGAGTAATCAGCGACTTACCAGGCAAGACTTTATAGATTAAGCTATTAGAATAGTTTTAGAAGGGGATAGTAGAAGTTTGACAATGACCGCCGTCGACGACCCCAGCACGGTCATGACCAAAGTCTAATTTTATTTTTATTGTCACTCAAGGCCTAGCAAAAAGACGCTCATGATATTCAGTTCAACAAAACCTTGTGTATATGCGAGCTTCGACATGCGTTAGATTAATGGATACTTGTAAATATTAGGACTGTTAAGAAAGATAAAGGGAGACTCGATTCCCACGCACGATGTCTTAAGCGATGTCGCAAAAAAGTTACATGTCGCGGAAGCCATCTCAACTAAGCCTCTTGCTGTAAGTGATGGGATTTCTGTTTTGCCTGGAGACGATATACCTGGGTCATCCAGTCTACTGTTGCCCTCACTAAGCCTCTTGCTGTAAGTGATGGGATTTCTGTTTTGCCTGGAGACGATATACCTGGGTCATCCAGTCTACTGTTGCCCTCTTGTTCTGGCAACCACCCTGAGCGCACTACAGAGCACGTAGCTGAATGCGAAGACGTAAACCCGTGGGTAGAGGGGAGAGGGAAACGCCATGACAGGATTCTGAAGTCCCAGCCAGCCCTGATGGGTTGCTCGGGACAGTCGGTAGACAGTAAAAGTGTGCGTCCAAGCGATGACTCCGTAAATCGTCCTCGCCCACATGCAGCGCATTCGCCGGAAAGACAGAGTAAGGAGGACCATGCTCGCCAGCAGTGTCTGGTTATTCAGGGTTTGTCAGAATCGAATGCAGTCAGACCTGAAGACCGTGTCTCAGAGGACCTTGCTTCTTTTCATGGTCTGCTAAATCATTTACTGCCGGCAGACGTGGAAATAAAGGTTCTGAAAGCATTCCGGATAGGAAAAAGGAGTGAAGAAAGGACAGTAGCACAACCACCTCGCCCTCTCAAAATTATGCTGGAGAACAAAGAGCAAATCAAGTTTATCCTCTCTAAAAAAACCGATCTCAGAAACACACACAAGCACGTGTTTTTTCAACCGGACTATTCACCAGCGGAACGGTTGAAACGCCGGGAACTTGTCATGGAGTTAAAATCAAGACTGAAGGATGGCGAACACAATCTGGCCATCTTCAAGGGGAAGGTAGTTCGAAAATATATGCCGTTTCAGTGGAACCAGCCTGTAATACTACGAACGACGACAGCTACTCAGCTTAAACAGACACCTTCGTTGAACCACCTGATCAAGGCGCCAACACAAGTGAGCCCGTAGCGTCCAGTGATCTGACTGAAACAAGGCTTGTAAATGGAACCAATCAGGTAACGGAAGAGCCTAGAGAACACGACGTCCGCGATAACGGAGTAATGCTCACAGCAGTAACGAATACAACGGGAAATTCGGCTGGTGCTAAACTGAGGTGCTTGTACACGAATGCCCAAAGCCTCATATCGAAACTAGACGAACTAAAACTTTGCCTTGTTGAGCTGTCTCCAGATGTTTTAGCAGTAACTGAGACCTGGCTGTCCGGGAATATTAGCGATAACGAAGTAGCCTTGCCTGGATACAAAATTTATCGGAGGGACAGGCAACATCGTCAGGGTGGTGGTATCGTTGTGTATGTAAATGAAGGTCTGAAAGTGTCGGATAACACCACCAAGTTTGCGTGCAGTATGGAAGCTATCTGGTTGACCATCAAGGCTACCGGTTCCCCGTGTCTCGATGTCCTCACTGTCTACCGACCACCTCGGACAGACCGAATCGCCGACACTCAACTATTGGAGCAGTTGGAGAAATTTTCCAGTCGACCTAACATCATGATCATGGGCGACTTCAACGCACCAGGAACAAACTGGAATACCCTCCAAGCGTCAGGTCCAAAATCGGCATTCGATTACCGCCTGTTGAGCAAAACATTAAATGCGTGCCTCACACAATATGTAATGTTCCCAACGAGAACACGTGAAGGACAAAGGGCAAACTGCCTGGATCTGGTTTTTACAAAAACTCCAGACAGCATAGACGAGATCGTCTCCATGCCGCCCCTTGGCCGAAGTGACCACGTAGTGCTTATGTGGGATTATTCGTTATTCTCCATTTCACATACTCCAGACCACAAAAGGCGTAATGTTTGGCGGGGCGATTTCAATCAGATGAGGGCAGACTTATCCGGTCTTGACTGGGGCTCTTTGTTTACGGGAAGTGCCAACGATGACTGGGAGCTGTTCAAGAATGTCCTTCTGCAGCTCATCAACAACCACTGCCCTCTGACTAGTGTAAGACTGAACAAACGCCCTGGGTGGCTAAATAGCAACCTCAAGAAAGAAATCAACAGGAAGCACAAGTTGTGGAGAAAATACTGCGTCACTAGACAAGCTGAATGCTTCAACACCTACAAGACACAGAGGAACAAACTGAGGAAGCTGATAATGCAGACGCGGCGGGAATTCGAGAAGAACTTGCTACAAAAAGCAACGCAGAACCCAAAATTGCTCTAGAGCTATCTCCGACGAACTACAAGGAACAGGCATCAAATCCCTTTGATAAGGACTACTGATGGCGTTGAGATCGCTGATAGTAGGGATAAAGCTGCGTATTTTTCACGGTTTTTCCAATCAGTCTACACAAACGAGGCAAGGTTCCTTCCTCCCTCCACAGAAGAACTGCCGACTCCAAGCGTCAGTGATATACTCTTCTCAGAAGGCATTGTCCGAAGAGAATTAGAGGCATTGAACGAATCTAAGTCGCCAGGACCAGACGAGATTCCACCCAAGCTTCTAAAGGAACTTGCCAGCGAGCTCTCTGTGCCTTTGTCGATGCTCTTTCAAACGTCATTTGACACTGGAACACTTCCTGTCGATTGGAAGCTAGCGCATATTACTCCGCTACACAAAGGAGGTAACAGGGCAGCGACGACAAATTACCGGCCCATAAGCTTGACATGCATTCTCTGCAAAGTTATGGAAAGGATCATAAAGAGTGAACTGATGCAATTCCTGGAAGTTCACGGCCTGCTATCGAAATGCCAACATGGGTTCCGAGCAGGAAGATCCTGCACGACAAACCTGCTGCAATCTCTCCAGAGCTGGACCCGAGCTCTCGACGACAGGCACGCGGTCCACATAGCCTTCATCGACTTCCAGAAGGCTTTCGACACTGTGCCACACCAAAGACTCTTACATAAGCTGAAAAAAATAGGGATCGGTGGCAACTTCCTTAAATGGATCGAAAACTTCCTTGTGGGTCGACACCAGGTTGTCTGCATCGGTCGGGGAAAATCAGATCCGTCTATGGTCGATAGTGGTGTCCCCCAGGGTTCAGTACTGGGACCCATTTTGTTCCTAATCTACGTGGACGATGCCGCAAGAGATTTAGACTGTGAAGTAGCAATGTTTGCGGATGACATGAAGATATGGAGTGTAATTCCGGGTCCTGCCGATGAAGACAGACTGCAGATGAACCTGAATCGGTTGGAGGAGTGGTCAAACCGTTGGATCCTGCGGTTCAACGTTGCCAAATGTAGCATACTTCGCCTAGGCAACACAGCTATATCCGCCAGCACAAGAGGCTACTTTCTGGGCGGTGCAGCCCTACAAGAGGTCGAAGCCCAAAGGGACCTCGGTGTGCTGACAGCGAGTTCCCTAAAACCATCCGCCCACTGTTCGAGGGTGGCAAAAACCGCAATGTCCGTACTGTACGCCATCAAGCGTGCGTTTATGGATTTTGACGAAGAAGCTTTCTCTAAGACATTCGGAACATTCGTCCGGCCGCATTTAGAGTACGGCATACAAGCTTGGAGGCCGTGGGCTGTTGTGGATCAAAACTGCCTCGAAAGAGTCCAGAGGAGAGCCACGAAGATGGTTAGGAGTCAAAGCTCCTTTCCTTATGCAACCCGCCTAGTAAATCTGAACCTCTTTCCTTTGAGTTACAGGCAACTTCGCGGAGATCTCTTGCAAGCCTTCCGCATTGTAAAGGGGTTGGACTGCAGTCTGGCCTTCGAAGACTTTTTTGAATTTGCTACCACGACCAACCTCCTAGGTCACCCGTTAAAACTGCGCACTCAGCAGGCACGGCTGGATGTGCGGAAGTTCTCCTACGCGGTTCGGGTGGTCAAACCATGGAATGAGCTTCCCGCAGATGTTGTGATGTCACCATCTATACAAATTTTTAAGAAGAATCTGGACATATTTATGTTCCGAAATGACCAAGAGCGATGAGAAGTCGAGCTCACCCCTGTAACTCCTTCTCATTTTGTCCCACCATTATGGGCGTGTTCGAACTATTTCAGCCCAGAACATCTATCTGTACACCACACATTTTTTACGTTGCAAATAGGGTACTCAAAGGCTTACGCCTATTTCCCTCAATAAACTGAACTGAACTGAACTGAAAAAGACATTAGCAACGGCATTTGCATGGTGTAAGGAATTCTGATGAGGAATATGGACTAACCGTATGTCATAGAACTACTTCATCAAGAGAGTCAATTAAAAATTAGTAGATTTATGCATTAGCATCGGGTTCCTAATAAAAGAACTTGTTGAGTTTTTTTATTGTTTATGTCCGTTGAGGTTCTTTAAGTTAGGTCCATATAAAATACTTCATTGGGGTTGCGGCTGCCGCGGCATAAGAAGTGGTTTTGTCTGGTGGTTCGTCACATGACTTAGTTTTCGGACATCCTTTACGTCATTGTACGCGGTGTACGTAGTTCTGAGAAAGCCATGTTCGCCCTTAAGAGCAGACAATTACTATCGAGTCAATTTCTGCCTGGAAAACGTATTTTTAATTCAAGTACTCGATGCCCTTGATAGCATTTAGTCGCCCGGGGCTAGTTTGCTGGCCCGTTTGACTTGCGGGCTAGTAACCTGACTGACTGACAGTGCTCGATCTCTGCGAGGAAGAGAGTTTTTCTGCTACACTCCCTCCTCCATGCTCACCCGGGTGCATTTCGCACGTCACGCCTAGGGGTCCCTTTGTGCGTACGAATGCATGCAGGGTACATGCACGCACTTTGTCCGGAATCTGGGCCTCTGTCTGGCGAATTAAATCGCCTCCGGCTACAACGCCCTCAATTCGCTCGAGGAGGCGCGTTAACCTACTGTTCCCGTGTGGACAGTTTCCGCTAGGATTGCTGAAAAAATCCAGTCAATCGCAAAACTAATCCGCGACCGGGCCAACCCTGGGCGAGTAGAATGCTATCAGGGGCTCTGGTGTGGTGCATCATGGTGTGGGTTCATGCAAAACCGCGGTTAACGAGTGCAGGTCGATAATTTGTCATAGCACATGCGACATATGTAGCGCCTGCATTTTCCAAACCGAGTTAGCTAATTATCGAATGACGTTAAATTGATGTAAAGTTCGATAACTAAATTCGCGTGTAACTTGTTATATTTGATTGTTTATTGGTTAGGCATCCGATTGTCGTTATCTCACCATCCTAATGCAGAAATACTTTGACACATATCAGTGCAAACGTTTGCCTTCTTTTCTTTAAAGGACATGCCGGTCGCGTTCTCTCCCAACAAGGGTCGTTTATGCCGTTGCGTCTAGGTAATAAAACGCTCTTAGTACAAACCGCGCTAAACCTCAACCGGCCTTCAGTTGACGTTGGTGGGTGTCGTGCGAGCAGAAATGCGTCAAGCTCAAGAGAAAAAACGTGCAAATCGTTTCCTAATATTTAAAATCAAAGTGTCGTCGACGCTAAACGGACAAGGTCCCTCGAAAAGCCTAATTCGGGCACACTTTGCACACGAAATTTAAATTCCTTCTATTTTTTTTCACGGATTATCAATGACGTTGCCCTTTCAGCCCCAGGCGAGAAAGTGTGGGCACAAAACGGGTTTTGTTTTTTGTGCAAATATAAGATTTTAAAAATCCGGTGACATAAGAAGTGTTTTGTTGTGCACACTCACCTCACCGACCTATATAATTACTCCCAAAGGATCGAAGCTGAAACGATGCGCGATGCCCACGCGTGATTGAGTGCTAACAGGGAAGTTATAAAGGTCGCACTTATTTAATGGTCTGCCAAAACGCTGGGGCATGCGTTGCGGGCTTCTGGTTCGTAGTTGGGAGTTTAATAAACTTTGTTTCGAATATCTGTTGTCTCTCACGCTTACTAATTCCATATTCTTGATCATCGGATGTTGTGTGGCCACGTCCTGACCAGTAATGACTGGTCTGGCTCGCTATCTTGCGATTTGTGTAATCTAACCCTAGTTTGCTGTCTGTCCAACCGTGCCCCGACCGCAATATACTTTAATGGTCTGCGTATGCCGTCTGTATGTGTCGTTATGATACATTTGTCTCGTAATATACTATCAAGATTTCAGCCTAGCCGTATTGCGAATTTGCAATTCTGATTTATTTTCCATACTTCCGATCGCATCCTTGGTGGTCTTGGTGGTCTTCTCCTTTTTTCTTGATCCTAGTATACCAGCGTTATTGCTTATTTTACGGGTTTGTAATTATAAAAAGCTTGGTGCAGTTAGATTACTCAGGTCTGTATTAAAATGTTGGTCGCTTTTATTAGGCTAGTCAGTACCGGAAATGCCGCTGTTACCAAACCCTAACTTTCCACCAATGTTTGCGTTTGGTAATTTACCCCTGTTTGTCACTTCTTAATGCACTAACATTCGTTTTTTTGTTTCCCCTATTGACAATTTACCATGTAAATTTTTCACACTCCGTTCCGTTTGTTTTTGAAGCTCGGGAATTATGCACGAAGCCTTTTACCCTATTCGATTGATCAAGAATAACCACTATGAATTTGAAAGCATTTCCTGCTACCAAAATTACCTTCTTCTCGGCGCCAAATCCGGCTTGTTGCTAATCTATGAAGTTGTACCCGCGAGCAACTCTCAAACGAAAGCCTTTGTGCCACCGGACAAGCCTGACAGGATGAAAAGGCAGGTTGAACCCCTGGTGCTGCTAGCCAATGATGGTGACATTGCCGGAGATCCCGGACAAGACAAGGCGGCTGCGAATTTTGAACTTCCCTCTTTCAATGTCCGTGTGTGCGCAACTCATCACTTGAGCAAGAAACGAGTCATACAGCTTCGTGCAGTGCCCGAATACGGACTGTTTCTCGCCCTGACAGACCTGCATCTAGCTGCTTATAGACTCTCGGACCGTCAGCTCGTTGCCGTTGTTCCCAACAGCAGAGGCGCCTCGCATTTTGCAGTTCTATTTAAAGCAGGCCCTGACTCTCGATCTTTGCTGACCAGCCCGCGAAGTGCTCGCGGTAAGGTTTCGGTCATCAAACCGTATACTTTCGTCCTCACCTGGTTCTTCTCCACTAGTATTTTTTAGATTTGTCGTATTTGATATATTGTTTCTTTAAGCAGAGAAAACCTAGTTCCATTTACTAGAGTTTTGGTCCTGAAGCTGAAAGCCTGAACCCCATGGGTCCAAGAATACTAATGTGCGCTTAATTTTATTTCACATACACAGCATGAGCCTTACGTAACTCTCTTCAGGTGGCACCTGTATTGGTGTCTACTTTTCTTAAAACGTTTTCAGTTGATCGCAGTTGTCACAGCTTTTGTCAAACAATTGTCCCCATCGTTATAGATTGAGAGACTGAGATATAATCGCCACGGTCTAAGATGCCACTCATACAGTGTTCTGCGGACTAAACGAAAGCTGGCAGAGGGGGTATCAGGGTCCCATTTAGAGAGCCACAATTTAGGTTAGTCATTAAACTCTGCCAGTGCCGTTTTTCTCGACAGCGCCGTTCGGAGGTGAGTCAACTACCGTCTTTGGATGGCAGGACCACCTACATGTTTCTTCTCGAGCAAATTTCATTCTTCGCCTTGACAGGAGCTGTGTGTTTCGTTCTCGGTGACTCTTAGATACTGATGGTCGTTCAAACCAAATTTGTATTTTTTCAATCCTCGTTACCCAAAATATGCGGCAGTCCAGAAGCGCCATTTACACAGCAACTATTTGCACGAGAACTATGGTGTCGATACTGACCTTATAACGAGTTCTCAGTCTTGACCATTAAGGGGCCAATGGCTCGACGCGTTGTATTTATCCAGATAGTAGGTTTCTTCTTACCGTATCTGTTCTACAAAAGTGCTCAAAATGTACTTGAAGTGGCTTAACCTCCCTTCTTGAATCCCCTTGTCCGTACAAGGGCAGCTTATCTTTACTACTACTGCAAATTGAAAAAATGTTCATCCTCACACCTCACACCTCTTTCGGTCAAAGAAGTAAGCAACTCCGTTCCTTGTGATGACTGTTCAGGAGTACAGCATCCCTGATGTAATCGAAGTTAGTGAGCAGATGCCCGAGGACAGCTCGGCACTTTCAAAATCACGAAGTATTGTATTTACCTTTAAGTCCATGGCCTATCTGGAATGTGTCCGCAGTCATCTACTTCCAGCCTCGTCATACATGCGGAGGGGGACACTTTTTGCGACCAAAGACAGTCGAGCATTGGCATTGTTTTCCCGACGCTCGGTTTCAGGCCGAATTCGGGAGAGGCGTTTACTGTTCAACTAGGGGCAGACTAAGTCTCCTTGGATGAATTTCCAATCAGGACGATGCTGGTATAATCAGGGTCTGAGGCCAGGTCTTGTCCTACTTCGATGCCCTCGCAATGGACATCACTGATTATATTAGATGAAGAGGATGGATGCCGATGACACAGCCCTGTAAACCCTCAGTGTTGACGGAGAAGAACTCGCTGTTTTCATCGTATGCTTGAAATTTTATTCGGGTGTTCATGGTCTGCCCTCACCAAGTTCGTGAATTTTCGTGCCTACCGTCGGTGCCTACGGTTCTTCAGAGAATCCTTTTATTTCTTCCACAAACGTTGCGGCGACATCAAGGGGGCCGATAATTGTCCTCTGTCGTGAGCAACCTACTTGCATTAAGATTCGCCATCGGCGAATATTGAGTGAACACAACCTCTTCCAGTGCAAAAATTGCTCTGAATTTCCCTTCTTCGTGCTTGCAGTAAGGCACAAAAAGGGCCTGGAAAGATGCTCGAGAAGATTTCTGCGACCATGTAGATTGTGTTGACGCCTGAACATAGACCCAGATAAACCGTTAGTAGGCAGCGACTAGCGCCGCCATTACTTCGTACCATTAACCAGGGCGAGCAATTTTTGGCAAAGTGGAGCAAGTGGACAGCGGCAGGCTGTTGGCAAGATGAATGGACGATCGGGGTCTTGCACGCCGAACGCATTTTGAATTTCGCAAAGCAGAATGCTAGCATTATGATATAGCCTCGATGCATCGCTATTACAAAAGCCCTTTGGCGGTCATCGCCGTGGACTTAAAGAAGACGACCTCAAACCAACCGGACTGTTGTTGAAAGCCCGACTTTACACGTCTTCTCAGACTCTACTTCTAAACATATCCCATTCTCTTTGCGCTTTGATTTAACCCGCTTTTTCGTTTTGCCAAGAACTTCACGAATTTATTGACCATACTGACAATTGGAATGCTACACCGAATCCCTAGGTTACAGTGGATCGGGGAGTAAGCAGTCCGGGCATACAGAGGAGGTGAGACTGTCAGAGGGGAAACAGTGCCCCAGCCTATATCTCTGTGCCTGCTCTAAAAGAAAGCTCAGTTTTTACGGATGGTCCCCCGAACAGCGCAAGTTTCTTCCTCCCAGTGCAATGAGTGACGCTGCCATTGCAAAGTGGCCGGATGACTACACCCTTTCCGAACCTGCTGTCTGCATTCAGTTTTGTGGCCTTGATATGCTGATGGTCGGCCTGCGCTCGGAATATTTATGTATAAGACTCAGCACTCGCGAGGTAATTTCTACCGGTTTCAATAATATTTAGGTCATTATGCCCCTGTTGAAGGACATTGGTACTTTTCTCGTTCAGCCTCATACATCTGATCAGTGACCCAAACGCTTTGGCATTCCGTCTTTGGTTTTCGGCCAAACTCGGCATCACCCTAGTGATACTCAATACTGTTTTTTTGTGAAGAATTAAGCCTTAAAGCTCTAACGTCGTCTGTCCTTTCTCTACAGCTATAAACTAGGGAACGATGGCCTTCTACCTACTTTGACTCATATAGCCTCTTCTCATGTGACCGTTGTACTGCCATCGATCGTACCCTGCATCATTTCCTGCCATTAAATCCTTTCAAAACTGACCCGGAAGTTTTTAGTGCATATTTAAATATCCTTAAATGGGACACCGTTGCGTAAATATTGGAAGTGTCCGCAAACACCGTTTTCTCTCGAGCTCTGTACGCATTCTGTGAATATTGTAGGCACATACTATAGCTACGCCGAACAAACTCGCGGGAACACTAATGAGCCCACTCCCCTACTGTCTGGACCAAGTTACCTTTCAAAAATGCAGGACCACTACCAACTCAAGTGGCATGCGCGGACTCTCACCTCCGACCCATCTCGACCACACCGATGACAGATCCGATAATGAGAATTCGACGAGCACGACTGATCCTGCCTTAGAATCATCGTCGTGGATGACTGGCTCCGCAGCACCATTTGCCCTTGCTTCCGACGACCAACTTTTTACCCTGCTACCAAACGCCGGGTCCGTTGACGAAAAGCCGGCTTTTCGGTGGTCAGGTATCCCCCAGTGCTTCCAAGTCTGTCCACCCTATCTCCTTGCCGTAAGTTTGCCTCACCGTAGTTAGATTTTCAGGAGCCGCGTTCCTGTTTAGGTGAATTATTTCTACTTTTTTGCGTTGCCCGACCTCATTTAGGCTTGTCTAGTCCTGCTCGTATTTGCGGCTGCTATTACCAGCACTGACTGATCCCACCCAAGAGCTAGCAGCATTGCCAGTTGGTATATCCTATGCGCTGTGTTTGTTGCTTTTGACCCTCAGCATTGTTCCTCAGTTGCGACTAGGTTACCGTGTTTTATGTCGTAGCCCGGCTGATTGCTAGTCAACAGCAGTGTTTATATTACCTCGGTTCATTGACATCCCGATCTCGAAATAATGCAAAGAGGAAAAAATAACTGTCACATAGTGGTAGTATGTAACAATTCGCTTGTTGTAGGACGAAAATGGGCCTTTCCGTTTCTCCTGGAGACAAAGAGCCCACAATTTACACAGGCAATCACCGGTGGAGGACTTGGAATCAATAGTTTAAAAATCTTAACGACAATGGGGGAGATAGTGGGACGAACGTTTCTGCCATCTCTACCTTCATATCACAGCCCCTGGCTGCACGCTCGAGTTTTGAATCCGATCTTGGCCGAATCAACGTGAGTTCGTAGTGCCTTAATGTGAGCTCTACCCGATCATCAACCGGCTCGGATTCAGACCCCAGTCTTGCCGTCTGAGATCGGCGTGTCACTAGCTAATGGCGTCTAAAAGCCGGAAGCGGTCATTACAGCGCATCCGTCTGTGTTGGTAACACTTTTCAAGCAAAACAGTGTTGGCAGACATTGAACGTCGTTTCGTAATATAGTATAGACCGACTTTGACAATGAAAAGTAGGTCTTACTTCCCTTTCGAACAACAACTATCAGTCCTGAGTTCTCTAGCCCAGATAAGATGTTTATTGCCTTTCCTGGCCTATTCATCAGTAACTACCAGTTGCATGAAATGTTGATAGGAACTTTAGACAGTCATCTGCATCCTTTGATATTTATTTGGTAGAAAATAGTTGCTAACCCATCTTTCGCCCAAACACTCCTTTTGCTCTTCATTCCCATCTGACCTTACAAAACGGTTAGTTCCTGGGAGTAGACGACAATACTGCATTAGCAGATACTGTTGGAGAAAGGATTAGCAGTGAGATTTCAAATTGGCGACATTTCAGGACAGCCTAGCTGGCTGACAGCTTGTCATTCGTCGCAAGCACTATGTAGTCCGCGGTCGTATTTCCTTCAACGTAGTCACAGTTAAATTAGGTGCTTGGTGCACGCTCTTGTGACCTTTTAATCCAAGATTTACTTCAACCTCACTTTTCCCCTGCTGTAGGGTCTAACAAAAGTCCTTGAGATCTGGAGTTTGGATCCCTACGAGCTAACTCAGACGCTGCAAATACCCAGCGTTCGAGCTATGTGTTACAACAACGGCTGGCTTTATGCTACTGCGGCAGCTTCTACAGCCTCCTCGCCCTCCGTGTCTGGTGTTGCATCACCCAGTGGCAGTCCGATAACTACCTCCGGCGGAAGTGATGTCTGGCTCCTCTTGGCAGCTAACCGCCCCAATCTTATTCGATACCTAGTACAGCAGAAGGTAATTAAAGGTATTTTGCGCGCTTAAACATCTTAGGCACCTCTAGGTACCGTTACTGCGCTTTCCGACTGTTTCTATGCCAGGGGGCAATCTTGCAGTTAGCCCATCAAAGTCGTTAACCGCCATCTTGGTGAATAGGTATACTTTGGGCGCGACCTTGATTATAACGGAGACAAGTTATGTAGTGTTGTTCTTTCCGCGGCAAGGTCGAGTTTAGCAGCTCTGATGTGACAGTTAGCTCAGCAGCTGATTGATTTAATCGTCATTCTCCGAATAGCTGTCGGTTTATCACAACGTATGATATGCCGTTTCATGGTTTTTAGATCTCCTGTTCTTAGTATCATCCATCCAGCCCACCCAGTCGGATTTTATATCCGGGTCTGCCATTCTCTCCGACCGAGAGATGGCTTTTTCCTCAGCACCCTGGCATCCCAAATCCCACGAGCAAATCCTGTTACAGTTTTCCAGGTTGAAGTGAGGTTATAAGTAACTAAGTGGTACCCAGAGGTCGAGAAGTATGTCCAGCGAGGTCACATGTTTTTTGTGGTGATTTAAAAGGTCTTACTCATCCTGTCCGATTGATTTGTTTCATTTGATTCAGCCTCCGATGGCTTCAAGTTCGAGATTGCCTTAATTTATGGCCAAGGCGTCTTTGTGTGTCTGATTCTTTCTGGAGGTTTAGAATGAAAATAAAACTTAGTTTGCCTGTATCGACTAAAAAACTGCTTGGTGCTGAGTGTTTGGACGTGCTGGATGAGTGTTGGCCACCAGTGAGGTTAATATCCCATGTAAATACTGCTATCTGTCCTCGTAACGTCCTTTTTATTTACCGTTCGGTACGTGTCCCGGGAGTCATTCGCATTTTTATCGTCCAAGTTTATTCCTCAGAGGGCTGTATCAACTGTTGAATAAGTCTTAATTTGGTCTACTCCAGCCAAAAGCCGTGGTTAACGAAATGGGAACGGCATAGAATGTTCTCAACCGCAAGGAACCCCTGATAATAGATTCGCCTGAGTGTGCAACGTCAAAAATAAAGTTCCACCACATGACATTTCAGTTCTCGGCACTACTAACGACGTGATGACTTCAATGATGTCCGTGATTAACCTTCCATGTTACGCTCATTTGTGCAGAAGTACGACTGATAGAGATTCTAGGTAAGCTTCCCTCGCCAAATCAGTTTAATCGCAGGCACATTTCTGGCTCAGTGGATAGACCTGGGAAGACATTATCACAGAAGTCATTTGTTTATTATCGTGACCGATGACAGCAGGCGAGCAAGGACAAGGATGACTGAAATAGCCATTTCCGGCTTATTAGTCGTCGTCAGCCTGTCATACGAAACCCCGAAGTGTGGAACACCTGGGACTCGAACTCGCGACCTGCTAGCTAGAAGTCCAACGCCTCTAACCACTGAGTCAGGGCTCGTTGTCCTGTCGGTTTCGATCAGGAATATACAATGGTAGAGGGGCTCTCACCGATCGTTTTTACGGAACTCACTCGTTCCGTTGTGTCTTACGGGCCAGAAATGGCCATTCCAGTCTCCCTTGTCTTTGTCGGTAATAAAATTCTGCCTATATCTTGCGCCGCTGTGCGGCTGCTGGTTGGGCTCGAGAGAGAGCTCGTAAAGCACAACGGAACGAGTGACTTCCGTAAGAACGATCGGTGAGCGCCCCTCTACCATTGTATATTCCAGATCAAAACCGACAGGACAACGAGCCCGTGGTGGCTCAGTGGTTATAGGCGTTAGACTTCTAAATAACAGGTCGCGAGTTCGAGCTTCAGATGTTCCTCACTTGGGGTCGGGTATGACTGGCTGATGACGGCTAATAGGCCCGAAATGGCCATTCCGGTCTCCCTTGTCTTTGTCGGTACCATGTCTTTTAACTTCTACCGCTACTCGCTGTGCGACTGCCTGCGAGGGTTCTCGTATGAGCCCCAAGGCACAACGGAACAAGCACGTTCCGTAACCTGATCGGTGAGCGCCTATCTGTCACGAACGCCAAGCGATTATCGATTTTTTAAGTGCGCTTGAGATGTTAACTGTGTTGGCACACTTGCTCTCCGTCTGTCTGATGACGACCCGTTGAACCGTCGTCGAAAATTTGCACAATAAACTTCTTTTTCCAACGACACATATTCGACTTCGACGGCACCCCGACGATGACGGTTCCCCGGCTCGTCGTCAGACAGGCGGAGAGCAAGTGTGCCAACACTGTTAACATCTCAAGTGCACTTAAAAAATCGATAATCACTTGGCGTTCGTGGCAGATAGGCACTCACCGATCAGGTTATGCTCAACTTGGTGTCATTGTCGTCGTGAGACTATCGACCAGTTGATCCCAGATTATTGTTTCTCACCCGAACCGTAAAGTATCCTACTACATTTTGAACCTCCGATATTGTCGTTTGTGTGCTGTTATTCCTCCCCGTTTCGGAACTTTTGTCGAATGTAACCGTCAGACCTTTCACGTCATAGTTGTTGAGTGCATGGGTTGCCCTCTTATCTATTGCACATTGAGACGATGCGCTACTTCACTTGACTAAAGTTAACAACCTGCTTAGTGGTGAGGCATTTTTTATGACGATTAGAGCGGATGTCCTCTTGTTGTATGCACTCAGCGCATGGGTCTAAGAAGTATGGGGACTACTATTGAGGACCTGCGTTCCTTCTCAGTGCGTTTACGTGCGAATTATTCAGTGAATTCCTACGATTACCGTTTGCTAGCATGATGCAGTAGTAAACAGCTTTTTATATCTCCTCCTCTAGGAGTTTGAAATAGCCCTGAAGTTGGCCACCTTCACGCATTTATCCGCCCAACCTGCACTCCAGACCGAGGAATTAGCCGCCCTCTATGCATTTCACCTTTTCGACCGGGATCGCCAGTTTGAAAAGGCTCTCAACCTCTTCTGCCAACTAAACACCGACCCCTTTCAAGTCCTCGGTCTCTGTCCCGGCATGCTTCCTGAGGACTTTTCGGGAGAATTAAAGTATCCTTCCACGCCTGTTGTAAGTTCTGTCATCTCCTCCGACTTCCGAAATACGTCCTTCAAAAAGGCCCCGTACGTGTATGTAGTGTACACATTTTTCACTTGTGTCCTTGCACATTGGTGTCTCTTACTAACGCACATAAAAATCTAGATGCGGTTGTATCTAAAAATCCAATTCTACATCTTTCGCTGTTATTACCGGCAACTCTTGCGACTCCTTTTATCAAAGAATTGATGTCATTTGGCACGCGACCGACAGTTGGTGGCGATTCGAAACTTGCCCCGAATCTGCATCTTATTTCCAACAGTGTAGGCCGAGTTATCAAGAGCATTGATTAAGGATGACAAAGTATTATGTGCTGTAATAATTGGTATTTTGAAGATCTTGGCGGCTGGGCCGGGACGAGTGCGAGTACACCATAAAAAGTAGCTAAGACGCTCTTCTGATCCTTCCACAGCGTCTTTGTCAGATTGATAGGGACTGGTTTCACCTAGCTCGACACATCTTGTATCAATGGTGACTGCCTCAGTAGCTTAAATTTGTCTGGATAACACAAGCGCACTTTTGACATGTGACCTGTAGGCATGCCTCCGGCCGTAGGGTCATATTTGCAGCCATCTACATTCCCCTTATACACACTCATCTGTCCCGCTTTGCATCCTTTTCATGCAAGTGACCTTTTTGTATGTAGCCTCTGACCGAAGACGAGAAGAAAATGCTGCTTGAACCCCTGATAACTTACCTTGTTCGGTGGAGGAATAGGCTGCGTGCATCTACAAGTAGCACCGGCTCACCCAGCACTCATCCAACGGCCCAGCACGCCAGCAGCAAAGTCCTTCTACATCAGTTCTTCTGCTCTCCAATTGTTCCGCGAACGCAGATGAACGAGTCGCTGCACGGACTCCCACGTCTCAGCCTCCTTCAGTTGGTCGACACATGTCTCCTCAAATGCTATCTTGTGACCAATATCGCTCGTGTTGGTCCACTTCTGCGTCAGGAGAACTACTGCCACCTCGAGGAGGCCGAACGCGTCCTCACTCTCAATCATCGTTACACGGTATTCATTTTTACTGACACGCTCACATCTACTCAATTGGAATTAAGTAAACCGTTTATTTCCATCTGTGAAGTCTCATGCGTCTGAGGCATTTCCTCACAGTGATTGTATTTTTCCGAGGAAGCCATTGAAAATCGATGTACTCACATGACCAGGAGCAGGTTTCGAAAGTCGAATCCTAACAATCCACTCGCTCCCAAGACACAGTTGACTGCTTGGGCTGGAGTAGAAAATTGTTGGCCGTCAAAGTTTCGGATAGGTCAGATGCAAAGGTGGGGGTACGTCTGACGACCATCCCATATGCTTTCCCTCCAGGCATCACCCTCTTAAAATTGGGTTGGAGTCGATTTATTCTGGCCAAAACGGGCTTTCGGTTTATGGAATCCTCAGTACTACCGATTTTTCTGAAGGAATACATAGACCAGCAGTTTTAACTCACTTCTGCCTAGCGGCCTAAATACATATGTTAACCAGTGTTTCACTTCTGTTACGCAAAGTTACGATCCCTCTGCATCTTAAGGAATCTTGTTGTTGACGTCGTAACTCATTCCTTCGCAAAGTTTTTTTACATTTTGTGCCACAAGTGCGGCGCAGGAAAACCACATCGCGCCTTATAGACCGCATTTAACTATGCACGTCTATCGGAAATCTAAGGTAGCGCGTGGCTCTAGATGCATCCGTGTGGTGGGAAACTCGACAAATTATAAAAGGAGAACATTGGAAGCAATTAAAGGAAATATTGCGTGTCGACTACATTCACATATCTCACCTGATTGCAGGACGGAATATGGACCAGTTACCTTGTCTTGCAGTTCAAGTCTGCGCACGCAGATGGTGGAATAGTTACGTACAGTCGAGAACTGAGAACCAATGCATCCAAAGACGAGGAAGACTGAACTGTCCATATATGGAAGCTACCTCCAATCCCCGACCGGGAAGGCGTGCGATTTGAACCCCAGCTTAGGTGGTTCTTTAGCCAGATGCTATACCAACTAAGCCACAAACGTACAATCGGGAGTATTCAGAGACAGAGTTATGTGGTAATTGCTGATCCGACGTGACCACAAAGTGAAATGCGGGTGTCGTTGATGGCACCAAGCAAACCGAAATGGATTCATCAGCCTCCCTTATGTGTGTCTCCCTATGCTTGTTGATTACGTATGATACGTTGGATAACGAAAAAAGTAATGCCAGTCAAGGCACGTTTCCTCGGAACCTCCTGTTTTTTTCTAATCCAAATTTTGACGTGCAAAAGCCCCTGGCGGTTATTTACTATGCTAGCTAACTTCTTTGGGCGACCCCTCCTAGGACCTTGTCACAATGTATCGGGCGCGTGGCTTCCACCAACAAGCGCTACGGGTCCTCACGAAGGTTACTCTGGGGACCGTCGAGGCTGAGAAAGTGGCGACATCTGATGATGCACACACACCAGACTTAGTTGTTGCCTATCTCAAGGATCTGGACCCCACCAACTTCGAACTAGTTGCACAATTTGGTGACTGGATCATGAATACGCATCCAAAATCCTGGATGAGCATATTTGTTGCGTGGGAACGGGAACTTCGGAGAAAAGTGCTCTCAGCTGCTCCGGGTAGGCCTCTTTTCTAAAACTCCCTACTTTTTATGTGATTTAGTAAATTGTGTGGTCTAACCAAACGTGTCTGCATGCGCCAAAGTGCTGCGGCTTTGCAGTTACTTCAGGCATCTGCGAGTGACCGCCAAAAATATCCAAGGGAACGCTGGAATAGCTAATGTGTAGTCCATCAGTTTGCAAAATTACATTGTGAATTGCTTACTGCGAAGAGGGTTGGTGCTAGCATGCCAGAATTTCTTGACCGACATTGACACCACCTGGCTCAAGTCTCAGACAACCGTGCTTCGGATATCGTTTTATTTTTTGTGTGCTTTTACGCCAACCTTTACGATTCAAATGCTTTTGATGATTCGTCAGTCTTCAGGCCTCACGCGTCTTCTGACCACCGCCGCATATCGGACATCTGGTTAGAATAGAGTGATTGCCGTGAACGTGCACTTTTGGATTGGACTTATGCGTGCGCATGCCTAGAAGTAGTTTCATTTTGCGCAGTTAGAATATAGTCAAGTTCTCGCGTGTCCTAAGAACCGAGGTATTTCCCTTTGCCTCCTGATTCTTATGTCCGATTTACAGGTAGACTTTCGAACTCTTAAACCATAAAGATTTCTATTCAATGGGTTATGCTTGTATTCCCGGCTGATCGCGTCACCCACTTGCTACGAGTTCTAGCCCCCGAATGGGGTTCATATCCTGGCCTTCACTTCTGCATCTTATTGTTTAGACAGCAAATCTTTCGCCGGATTTGCCTACCGAGACCAAGTCATTCGCCACCTTGACAAACATGCTCCGCATCTGATAATCCCCTTCCTGGAGCGCATTATCTTCATGCCGCACGACTGGGACGATGAAATGGAGGAGAACGGGGAGACTGAAGGGAGCGAGGAAGAGGCATTGAGGGTCTCAAACCTTAACAGCAGCGGAACCTCGCCTAAAACTCCGCAGTCCACCGCTCTTTCTGATGACATAGTAAATCCAGCCAACGGGTCCTCCCTCCCAGTAAGTTCCTGGGTTTCTCATTCCATTCCTCTCCTTCCGTTGTCCATATTTATACCCGCTGTTATGAAATCTCGGATGCTGGAGGCTGGCATAAAGTCAGACCCATTCGTTTCTCCGCTACTCCCGTTTTTAAAATGCACTGACATTACCAGCGAAACACAGCTTGTCTCCCTGATACATGGGGAGAAAACTTTTTTCAGGAACTGTAACTCGTGTGCACTCCATAAATCACTTATCACTGGGCACAAAGAGCTAGTTTAAGGGGACTTTCAAAGTTCCGTACCTCTTCATTGGCTGTTGGCCATTCCTCTGGTATCTTAGCGTTTGCCAGCTCAAGTTAGATGTCAGGTGACTCTATTTGCAACCTTTTTTCATTTAATATTCTCCCATTTAACCCGTCCTTTGTCACTAATGTTTGCAGAAGCTTGCGTTATTTCTTACAGACAATCTCTGTTACCTTCAGACCTCCAACGGGAACTCGCAAAATGTTTGCGATTCCAACCTGTTTACTTGTTTGTGGCCACTCCCTCGTCCAAGGCGGCCAGTGACGCATTCATCTGTAAAGCATCGGTTGAGCCGGAACTTGCCGATGAGATCTGAACAGGAACCTGATCCTGATGATTTGCCTGAAATCGATCCGTTACCTTCCAGTCCGGAACCCACTGAACTGCACAATCGTTACGCCCGAGCTCTCATGTAAGAATCACTTTCATTCATGTGCTAGGCTTGACGCACTTTGTCCGACCCCTTTGGCCATGCCTCTCCTCAAGGTTCCAGTGATAGCCCCGCCCACTTTTGCCCTCGACCGCTCCCTTTTTGTGTCCAGATGTGTTGGGCTATTGCAATTAGGCGTAGCGTGATGGAAACCGTTCTCAGAGCATATTAAGTAGGTGTTCATATTGACTATAAAACATACCTTGTTACTGAAATGCCTTAGTAGCATTATATGATGGACTATCCTTCGCCCGCCCATTTTCATTTCTGGGGTCGCTCTCTGCTCTTTCCATTAGGTTCTTAATCGACTTTTCGGCCCATAAATAGTGCTTTCTTCATATACTAGCAGCAAATTCTCTTGATAACGGTTTTTTGGTGTTTGGTAGCGTGAGCCACGTAACGTGAATCTGATAACTGAGCTTTGACGGCTGCATCTCTTCCCCTCGCCTCTCATTGGCTGAAAACCGGACTCGGCAGATATCTCATATTATCGCTGCCGGTTGCAGACGTCTCCAACGTCCTATTCGACCTCAACCTGCCATTAAAGTCATGGAAGGCTTGTAGCTGCTTGATGGCAATCTGAAGCCAAGTTTACAGCTAGCTAGCTAGACTACCACCCACTTTATACCGCCAAGGTGAAGCTTACATAACGCATATCTGGTGTTTTCTCTTAAGACGTCAAATACAGACCCTGCAACCCGACCCCACAAAACTGGCATTACGCGTGGACGAGGAGGAGCCCCCTAACGGTCCTATAGCTCGCCTTCGACGTCGTCTTCTGCATTTCTTAGTCCATCCTCAGGCATGCTTTTCAGCCACCAGCCTTCTGCCAAAACTGCCATATGACGCCTGCTTCGAAGAGCGGGCTCTTCTGTTTGCCAAACTCCGGCGACACGAGCAGGTCTCTTGTAATTGTGCTGCCATCCTTCTGCTTGCATGTTTTGCAAATTCAACATTTTCGGTGTACATCAGCACCGCCGTCGTTTTCCGATAATCGCCATTTTTGTCTCTGTCTTGGAGTTTGTATGCAAAGAACAAACCACCCAGTCTGCTCCTCCATTGAGACTGAGAGAGGGAGTAGGTAAGAGAGAAAAACAACGCCGACATACCGCCTGCGGGTTTCCTTAAAAAGTTCAGGCGCCACTCAATCGCACTTATTGTTGCCCATTTCGGGCATCTTTTCCTCTCATATCGACGCGCGCTCTCTCAGAAGCCCTGTTGCTGCTTTCTCACTCAGAGACTGTGATGGCCATTTCTAGCATCTTTATCGTCATCAACCAACCATACCCAACCCTAGGTTTGGTCAACCCGGCAATCGAACCCTGTTTCTTTGGCCATCAGATGTTTTCAAATCCGACACCCTGACATTGAGCCACGATCCTGTTGTCTGACTGTTCTTCGGTCAGGCAGCAACGTTCCCCTGCTGTCTACATATCCTGCCTGAAATTTCGCATGAACTAAACGCCAGTATCCTCAGATTTAATCAGTCTTCGTAGTCGTAATTTAGGTCTTCCGAGACTGTCGATGCACACGTGGACGTCTCTCATCCTCCTCGTCTCTTGTGGATGCTTCGTAGACAGCCGCGTGCCATTTCTTGCAGTTTGTCTCATTGTCGCGTTTAGTGCGCCTCAACGACGCCTTACTTTACCGTTGGAAAGTCGTCAAAATAGACGCTTGTTGTTAAGTGGTAATTCTGTAAGACTAAATATAACGGACGACTTCTATGACATCACCCCTTTGACACTGTGGATGACAAATCCCATATCTCTGGCGAATGCCAGAGTGTTCTGTACCCATAATAACTATTCAAAAGAGCCCTTGACATCAATTTCGTCGCGATTAGGAACTGCTCGTTCGCTTCGAGTTTTGCAGCGTTTGAAATTCCAGCACCCAGCGCCACGGCTGTTCTTATCAGCCGGCGGGTGTCCTCCAGTTGTGCCAAAAATTGCGGCACTTTGAACCCTGGATCTCAAGTCTTCTTTGCTTCGCTGAATTTAACAAGACAGCAACCACCAAGAGGGGTTCCTCGTCGAACTATCAAAGCAAACAGTCCTCGCTGACGATGCACGCGACTCACCGAACCATTTGACTTACGCATGTGACTGGATCGACAGTAGGCATCTGTGCCTAACATTCGCGGCCTACGGTATTTGATGACAATTCAGACTACCGTGCACACTCAGGAGATTAAAAACCATCAACTGTCCAAACCAAAGAGCTCGGACGCTGTCTTGGGTGCCACTGCTGATTCAGAAGAAAGATGGCCACCCTCTCCCTCCGTTTAAGACCCCACCCCGCCAATGTGCAGGCGAAATGCGCATTTGACTGACGCCCACCCTAAACTTTACCTGCCAGTTGTGTTTCTTACCGTGGACCACAAGAATCCACGGGAGCACCCCTAGGGTCCTCTTCTACGATTCTGGGCTACATGACATCTAGAGGAATGGTCCTGAGGCGAGGGCTCATCCTTTCCATTAAGAATTTTGTTTTTGAGCTAGAGCGGACAGCCTTTTTTATGCTTCTCCCAAACCATGTAACATTCCGTCCATGTGAGTACCGAGTTCCCCTTTTTGCTTTATACGAATACTTTTCCTGTTTCTGCCCTCTGATTAGTCGATCCCCTTTGCCTCTTTCTGGTGGTCGGCCGTCATGATTCGCCCACTTTTTGCCGGACTGCCACGTGTTAGGGTGTCATTGTGAGTAATTGCTAGTCAATCCACCTCGAATTTAATTTTCTCCATCGGGTTCTTATTCGCTTTGTTCACTATATCGCGCCCTGATATAGTTACTGTTTTATGACTACAGACCTTTATCTGCCAATGTCTCTGATGATGGATTCGAGTGAGAATCAGAAACGTCAGGCCAATAAATTTCTTGTTCCAGTGATCGCATCTTCGTTTTCAGAACCATACAAGTTGTCTTAATTATCCTGACCGCCATTTGACGTCGCCTTTGATCTCAGGGACGTCTATTTCGGTGTGAAGACTAACATCGCACTCAAACTACCGAACTATCAGTAACAAACATTGTGTTTGTTTTCCTTTTTGTTGAGTGGGTGACAATCTCTGCGCATGGTTGGGGCCTAGGTGCAAGTTTAGCCTCCAAAACAGGTCCTGGGATGAAGTTGTGATAGACGTCGCGGTGGTATGAGTGGTAGTAGGGGGAGTAGTGTACCCGGACCCAGGTTTTATACCGGCCTTGTCGAGAGCTCCATCCATTGTATTTCAAAAAGGGAAGTCCTCAAAACATGAGCAGCAGGAGTCGTGATGGGTACTGCGAGAAGTCATCTCGAACCGTTCCTTCCCGGTATTTGCCCCTGGACCTGTGAAAATACCGCACTTCAAGACGTTTCTGTGCCGCCAACTGAAGCACGCGATTGGTTTAGGTGCCAGATATGCGTTTGCTACTAGTGTCTTCTGATCCTATAAACCATGAAAAAACATCCTGGGTAATCGCCAACGAATCGTCACCTTGGATGCGACACGCAGTTTCTCGCCCGACTACTTCTCAGCTCTTCAAGTTAATGACAAAAACTCTTATCCTTAGATTACATAGATTATCTAAACTCCGGACTTAAGACGGTATCTCGGTTTGTTCCCTACAAGCGTTATTTTTTTGTTTACATAAGTGCTGCTCACCACGAAGGATACGGCCTACCCGCGTTATGGTAGGGAAACTGCTTGCTGTACTTTGCTCACCAAATTGCTGTCGATGCTATCATTTTAACAGGCTCTGACTTTGTGGATCCACCTGCTCAACCAATGGGAACGCGCGTTGCAGCACTGCGCACAGGTGCAGACGGAGGCGGAGAGGAGGGCGGCCATGCAAGAACAGGCAAAACGAGTTTCCCCCAGGTCCGACGCCACAGTTACGAACGCTGTAGCGCAGCAACAAAGGCATCAACAACAAAAACAACAGCTTCCGGAGGACACCTCCGAACCTCCAGAAATTTACACCCTTCTCTTCGAGGTCTGCCTCAACCCCCTCGAACCCATCGCATTGGGTATCGTCCCACCCAGCCGAGGTGGTACCCCGGAAGGTGGGTTTATCTTGAACCGCTCTTTGACTAGACTATTTACAAAAACTTCCGTCCGTGAAAATGCGTCTGTAGGGCTGAATCACACGAAATGTTTGTGACTGTGCTTGAAGTCTAACCACGGAAACTGCTGTGTTTGCACACATGTCTTCCGTGCGCACGAGATCAGACCCGACGTGATTATTGTTGCTTCGACTATAGTTAAACTGCCTCAGGGCGACGTTTTTTGCGTCCATTCTACCTTCTGTGGACATCTCAAATATCCTGATCGGTGGCGATGCGGTAGTTAGTGTGTTCTCTGATGGCCTCTGGGTGTAGTTTTCCTTCCTCCCTAATAAGGATTAGCTATAGAGAGAGGAGTAACCACTGAGCTCTCTTACCGGGGGGCAACCGACCTCAACGGGTTTTGAAAAATCCGACATTCCCAACTTCTTGTTCACCAACTTTCGTGTGCGTCTCTTCGGTTATTGCCGCAGGCCAGAGTATGCCTTACTTTCCTCGACAGCCTCTCCAAGCAGATTCACCAGCACATTCATAAAACATCGCTATTAATGTGGTGAGTGTTGACAGGAAATATATCAACAAAAAGTTGGCAAGGGCGTCATTGTCATGGATTGGTGCTATCGCAGGTGGAAGCAGTGGAGGACCCGCGCTGCGCGATCACCCGCCACGGGCAATCGGACCTAATCCCCGGCATCCTCTGCTGAAACTCCTGTGACACCTGACTTTGCCGCAGACAAAATTAACTGGTTTATGACCTGGCACTTTTTACTATTGAAGTGAATACTTACTAAGCTG